CTGCAGCAGGAACAGTCACAGCAGCTACAGCACCTGCAGCAGGAACAGTTACAGCAGCTGCAGCAGCACCTGCAGCAGGAACAGTCACAGCAGCTGCAGCACCTGCAGCAGGAACAGTCACAGCAGCTGCAGCAGCACCCGCAGCAGGAACAGTCACAGCAGCTGCAGCAGCACCCGCAGCAGGAACAGTCACAGCAGCAGCAGCAGCACCTGCAGCAGGAACAGTCACAGCAGCAGCAGGACCTGCAACAGGAACAGTCACAGCAGCTGCAGCACCTGCAGCAGGAACAGTCACAGCAGCTGCAGCACCTGCAGCAGGAACAGTCACAGCAGCTGCAGCAGCACCTGCGGCAGGACCAGTTACAGCAGCAGCAGCAGCACCTGCGGCAGGAACAGTTACAGCAGCAGCAGCACCTGCGGCAGGACCAGTCACAGCAGCTGCAGCACCTGCGGCAGGACCAGTCACAGCAGCAGCAGCAGCACCTACGGCAGGAACAGTCACAGGAGCTGCAGCACCTGCGGCAGGAACAGTCACAGCAGCTGCAGCACCTGCAGCAGGACCAGTTACAGCAGCTGCAGCAGGACCAGTTACAGAAGCAGAAGCAGGAGGAACAGTTACAGCAGCAGCACCTACAGCAGGACCAGTTACAGCAGCAGCAGCAGCAGCAGGAGGAGGAACAGTTACAGCAGCAACAGCAGAACCAGTTGCAGCAGCAGCAGCAACAGTTACAGCAGCAAGAGCAGGGCCAGTTGCAGCAGCTGCAGCAGAAGCAGGAGGAACAGTTACAGCAGCAGCAGCTGCAGCAGCAGCAGGAACTGCTACAGCAGCAGCGACAGGAACAGTTACAGATGCAGCAGCTGCAGCAGCAGCAGGAACTGTTACAGCAGCAGCAGCTGCTGCACCAGCAACAGTTACAGCAGCAGCAGCTGCTGCACCAGCAACAGTTACAGCAGCAGCAGCTGCAGCAGCAAGAACAGTTGCAAGAGCAGCAGCAGCCCCGTCCACTGGAGCCAGAGGAGGAGGAAGAGGTGGAGCTGGAGCTCATGCCGGTGGACCTGGGGACGGAGCAGGAACTGGAGCAGCAGCGGCAGGAGCTAGAGCGGCAGCAGGAGCTGGAGAGACAACAGGAACAGCGGCAGCTGCAGCTTAAACTGCAGGAGCAGCTGCAGCAGCTGGAGCAGCAGCTGGAGCAGCAGCAGCAGCTGGAGCAGCAGCAGGAGGTGCAGCTGGAACTGACCCCGGTGGATCTGGGAGCCCAGCAGCAGGAGGTGCAGCTGGAGCTGACCCCCGTGCAGCCGGAGCTGCAGCTGGAGCTGGTGCCCGCCGCAGGCGGCGGCGGGACTGCGGCCCCGGGCGCTCCAGCCGCGGTCGTGGTGGCCCCCCCGGGCTACGTGGTGCTGCAGGAGCTC